ATGTCTCACTCCATCGTAAATCTGCGATATCTCCGGACGAATCTTCACCCCGCTTTCTGGGAACTTCTACCCCTTTAGTCACGGACCGCTAGATCCCGTTTATGTCCAGTTATTGTTGAATTTATTGCGCCCGTCTGTCTCGTCGTTGTTGTACAGATTTAGCCGAGTATTATGCAAAGACCAAAATGCTCGTAAAATATCTATTATGTAATTTTTTATCAAGAACTGTCAGTGGTGCTGGTAGAACAAGTGGTAACGTTATTGTATAGGCTTTCGTCTCTGGTACTTGTCATTGGTTGAAATTAAATAGTCTACACCACTAGTAAGCGAAACCTGGCGATTTCTTACTCTCCGATATGTGCGGTGTTCAAAATATATGTTTACTAAAACTCGTTGATACATTTATGAATAAGGTGTAAATTTGATTAAATTTACTTCCTAAACAAACAATCCGTGGTGTATAAAATAGGTTTAATCTTTTACGTAAACAATTGCAAAAACTGGTTTTGTTTGTTAAATATAAACTTTTGAAATGTATATGTTAAAAAATACAGATAATTCAATAAACAATTTATTTTCTAACGCTTTGTTCTTGCGTTAACCTTGACCCAACAAAGCATCCAATAGATGTATTTGATGCCAGATTTAAAGGTCTACAATTTTTATAATATATATTATGGTCATATTATTTGAGTAATTAAGGTGCAAAATTGAAATAAAAAAAGGTATTATGTTTGTATAAATTATAAACTGACAGGGATATCTATTCTGACACATAGATAATATTTGTCTCAGTTTGTTTAAATATTAGAATACGGTAATTAGTTTTACATTATTGAGCTTTTTAGCGACTTATGTCCATACAAGCCACTAGTACCTTTTATTACTTAAATCTTCTTAAACCTACAACAACGAGCGTTAAACTTGTTTTTAATGTTTAAAGTATACTCAATATCACAAGCAAAACAATGATCCCTCGATGAACGATATACTAAGACCGGAGTATCAAAACGTTGGTTCAAACCATAGAGCTCATAATAATGTGCTCTATGGTTCAGACCAACGTCGGCCATAATAAACTGCCACTCCAGTTCGAAATGTGACAACAAATCAGCAGTCGGAGACTCTCTGTCGGTCATTACGTTGGCAAATTGTGAGCAACAATCGACCGATAAATCGTGACCACCGGCAGATCCAGAGAATTAGCAGTAATGGTATAAACAATAGCATAATTCAGAGCGGTGGCGGTGGCGGTGGGCGTGGGAGAGCGGTGGCGGTGGCGGTGGCGCTAGTCAGCGGGGGCGGCGACCGGCGACACTGTCACGGGATTTATAGCGTTTCATATTTTGTCCGGTGTAGGAAATGTTTGCTATTAGTTTATAGCCGCGAGTCGATGAGTTATGCGAGATTGAGCTTGGAGCTCGCCGACTGCCCCCCCCCTCCTTCTCACTGTTACTAGATTGCGGTGATTTGTCCCGTACTTGTAATTGTTTACATCGACAAAATAATTATTCTAATTCCCTAATTGGGTTTGGCTCCTTTTTTTAATTTGTTGCGCCCAATAAATATGCAGTAGTCACGTTAAGAAAATGAGAGAAATGTTTTTACCATTCATACGCGCCAAAATTGCGAATAGACGTACATTGACTTTTTGGGGATATCAACTAATGAACATTCTCGTAGATAGGTGTGGCGTTGATTTAGTCTAAAATTGGTAGTAAAACAGTATATGGTCAGCCTTCCGGTTTAAATGACAGGCCCCTGCATCAATCCGCGATTTCTGTAAAGAAAACTTAATGCAGTGTCATTGTTTTTTATTGAGTTTGTTTTAACCTAATTTTATTCTCTGTGTACCTTAAGAAGGTCGTCAGACTAAATTTGTAAGAGTGAGATATTTTGCATTATGCTAGTGCAATTGAAATCACGTATAGCATGATAGGACAAAGCATGGACTTATGATAATATACATAGTGTAACATTGTTTGCACGGTACGACCACCGTTGTAACATCCCAGTATAGGTTCTTCATTGCTTTAATCAACTTCCTTTCTGTGTATCTCAATATCCGGAAACGTTATAGTATGCAGTGTACTGTATATAACGTGATTAACAGTCTATATTCCTTAACCAATAAAACAACAGCAACCATCAATTATATCCATTGCTAAATAAGAGGGCAGCATACTTTAAATTTCAAAATTGATAATCAAATAAATTCAATCGAAAGTAGGATTACATAATTGACCTGTAGGTATACATAGTCAATAATTACATGTTGAAATGACGATGTATGGTGGACTGTCTACGTCTACAGCACAGTCTACAGTCTACACGTTCACAGTGTACACGAGAAAGTGGCAGACACTAGACAGCGTGGGATGTGTCGCCGCCACAGGCGCGCCTACTTTGCCAAAATAAATCATCCACATGTTGAAAAATGTACTTTTAATGGCCCTCTAGTCCTGCTTAGGCTGACGGCTTCTCTTTGTAGCGTTTCGTTGCCGTGTTGATAGACTCTTGATGATAATTGGAAATAGTTTCTTGACCAAGATTCCTAGGATTGTGTTGTGTTTTGGTTCATCAGACTCAATTAATGGAAAATGGCTTATTAGGAAACGTTGTTGGTGATATTTCAACGTTTAAGATTAGCAATGATAGTTGCATAAGTATAAATGTTTCCATGGGTTAATGGTTTTTAACTGTATAGAATTCGAAATATTTTGAGGAAGCAGGGACAAGGCTACGAAAGCCCTGCACGTACACATGTAATTTAAATTGTTTATTCCCCAGATATTGTTTATATTTCTGTAAACATTCGTTAAGGTCGTCAACACATCAGTCCAGTCACAGTTCATTCTCTGTTGCATCCGCAATTCTTCAGTTAACCGTCCGTCAGTTAGTTTCAGTCAGTCTTCCGTCACTGTATTTAAGGTGATGTGACAATCAAGAATTTTTAACTAAAACCATCGTCCATCTGGCTGGTTGCTACCAACAGTACTTTAAATATAAACATAATAATTCAAATAACAAAAATACAATTTTCTAACCTTAAACACGTCCGTCAGGAGTCCGACCAATCCAAAAATATCGGTGGAAAAAACTGAAATTGACTGGTGGACGCCGGCAGAGCAACTGACGGACCTGCTCCGGATGAGTGTAGATAGCGCAATAGAAAATCAATTTAAGAATATGTTAGTTTACTGTGACGTGACTGATGTGACTTAACCTACGACGTGCCGTAACTGAATCGACCTTTAGTTGCCTCATCGTTGCAGATATTGCATGCACACGAATTTCGTTAAAATTACGAATCACATTGAAGCTTAGAAAGTTAAGCCTGTATAAAACCTCACTTTTGTCCATTATTGCCTTACTGTATACAGAAGTACAGTACTGTGGTGTTGTGTGGGTCAGTGACACAATGCTAGGTCCGGTGTCCGGTAGCTTGAGTTATGTCCGGCCTCCAATAGAGATGTCCACGATTGTAAGTCAAACTGTTTGGGGGGTCCGTCTCACCTGGCTTGTGGACGGTGTGGCGCTTCTTTCTCAGAATATTGCCTCACTGTCTCTATCATTCCCGCTGTGTCATTGAATAAAATAACTCTCTTTAAGTCAAACGATCACTTACAAGATTCCTTGATAAATTGAGGATCGTTTATGATGTTTACAGATTAGCTGCAACCTGGGGGTTTTAATTTAATTTAGTAGTTATTGTGTTATTCTTTACGATGTGTATTCACGTAAAAATGTATTTTTTAGATTAATTTAACGCGAGTCCACAGTGATGAAGTTCCAAAGACCATCACAGATTCTGCACGTTATCATTTGTGATATACACGTATTAAGGTATTATATGTGTATGCAAATTTGTATTTATTAATATTTTAGCGCCTCTGGTCCCTGGTAAAAGCGGTGGGGAGTTTCTACCTGGGGATCTTCGGTTATATAACGTCGATTGCCAGTGAGAAAACATTGTGTGATAATACCATAACAGTTAAGACTCTATCTTTAGCTGCATATGAAAAGAGCTTTTGAGTGGCCTAAATAAAAACGATTATTCTAAAACCTTGGTCTAATTATATGCGAATACCTTCTTAAATATCCATCATCAAAAATCTTTATTTTATAATCACGATGATTAAAACATATTATGTGCCGTTGACTCACTTATTGCACGCACAACACGTTACATGCTGCGTTACTCGTTACACGTTAGAATTTTTTTCTATGGTTTAAGCAAACAATCAGAAATTTTGTTAATACAATTCAGGTATAATATTTAGTTCATTCGTTAGTTGTGTGCATCTTCTAACTAACTAATGTTAATAAGGAACTAACAACGACTTACTCTTTAGGTGATACAGTTTTTTTTATTTATAAAGGTTACTTACAGTCTTCGCAATCCTGTTAGTTGAGCACTACGGCCGTTTCGGAGATAACTCCATCGTCGGGTGCGTAGTCATTATACACTAATCTGAGCTATTTACATATTTACATTTCTTACGTGGTTTCTTCATTTTCATTGCGTCAAAGTTAAATAAATAGTACATACAACACAAAACACGGACACGACACGAAAACATTAAGGCACGTGCACGGCTAAAAACTGACGACCGACTTTGCAGTCGGTCGTCAGTTTTTAGCCGTGCACGTGCCTTAATGTTTTCGTGTCGTGTCCGTGTTTTGTGTTGTATGTACTATTTATTTAACTTTGACGCAATGAAAATGAAGAAACCACGTAAGAAATGTAAATATGTAAATAGCTCAGATTAGTGTATAATGACTACGCACCCGACGATGGAGTTATCTCCGAAACGGCCGTAGTGCTCAACTAACAGGATTGCGAAGACTGTAAGTAACCTTTATATTTATTACACGCAATCTGCCACACTGATTAATCTTTTTTTATTTGTTATCGCCGATACAAATATGCATCAGTTAAGATTATGTAGGCCTAAGAATTTTTTAAATCATAAATTATCTCCAAGTTTTTGTTTTAGGGGTTGTTGAAGAGGCTGCCTCCAAATGAAAGGTCAGTATAAAGTTAGTTATTGATTAGTTGTCAAAGACACGAGAAAACCAACGTCTGGTGCGTTATATGAAATCATCATCAAGACATTAAATAACAGCAATGGATACAATTGTATTCATGCGATACGATTGTATGGCGGATACTTTGATCACGTACCTCTACCGTAAACTTAACTAGGTGGCGTTTGCAGAGGCATCCACAAAATTGAGCGGAGTCATCAAGGGTTCATATTATATTGTTTTTGTCATACTGCAGTAAAAACCGTAGTTTTTAATGCATTGTGCGTTGCGGGTCTAAAGTAGCATTTTTAATATTTAGTGAATAAAAATAGTTTTTAGCCTCTAAGGAGTAAAAATCAGCTGTTGTCAACTCAGTTGTAAATTTCGATTGTAAACGATTGCATGTATAGAAAATATGTATCGATTCGTGCGTCGTAATAATTTTAACATACAGTCTACAGTCTCTTCCCGTAGTATTTTAGCATTGCAGAAACATTAATCCATTCCCAAACTCAACACTGCTCACCTTTACTGCTTCCTTCACCACACCCTACGTCGTGGACCTGTTTTCCTCTCTTCCCATAGCATTTTAGGATTGCAGATACATTAATGTAATTGCTAAAGACAGTTCCCACACTCTGCATTGCTAGCCTTACTACTTCCTTCACCACATCACATCCTACGTCGTGGGGCCTGTTTCCTTCCCTTCTCATAGCATTTTAGTATTCCATTAATATAATATCTAATTAAAATACATTAATCTAACTGCCACAGACGGATCTCGCACTATGCTGATGCTCATACTTAACTACTTCCTAAGCCACTTCCTACGTCGTAGACATATATTCATCACTTTCCGTTGCATTTTAGTATTTTAGATACGTTAATCTTACTGCCACAAACCTTCCCACACTCCGTACTGCTAGCCTTTACTACTTTTTCACCATTCCCTATGTCGTGGGCATGTTTCCTTCCCTTCTCATAGCATTTCAGCATTGCAGATACATTAAAACTGCTACAAACGGTTTCCAGTTCCCACACGCCACGCTGCTCACCTTACTACTTCTTTCACCTCTTCCTACGTCGCGAATCTGTTTCCCTCTCTTCCCATAGCATTTTAAGATTGTAGATACCTACCTAAATCTAATCGTCATAAACAGACCTCACACTCCGAACAACTCGCCTTTAGTACTTTCTTCAACACTTCCTACATCGCGGACCTGTTTCCCTCACTTTCCTTAGCATTTTAGGATTGCAGATTCCTTAATCTAATCGTCATAAACAGTTCCCACACTCCGGACAGCTCGCCTAAACTACTTCCTTCATCATTTCCTACGTCGCGTACCTGTTTTCCTCCCTTCCCATAGCATTTTAGGATTGCAGGTACCTTAATCTAATCGTCACAAACAGTTCCCACAGTCCGGACGGCTTGCCTTTTCTACCTCCTTCACCACTTCCTACGTCGCAGACCTGTTTCCCTCCCTTCCTATAGCATCAAAGGATTGCAAATACCTTAATATAATGGTCACAAACAGATCCCACACCCCAAACAGCTCGCCTTTTTCTACTTCCTTCACCACTTTTTACGTCGCGGACCTGTTTCCTTCCCTTCCAATAGCATTTTAGGATTGTAGATACCTTAATCTAATCGTCATAAACAGTTCCCACACTCCGGACAGCTCGCCTTTACTACTTCCTTCACCATTTCCACGTCGCGGACCTGTTTTCCTCCCTTACCATAGAATTTTGAAATGCAGATACCTTAATCTAATCGTCATAAACAGTTTCTACACTCTAGACTGCTCGCCTTTACTACTTCCTTCACTACTTCCTACGTCGCGGACCTGTTTTCCTCCCTTCCCATAGAATTTTAGGAATACAGATACCTTAATCTAATCGTCAAAAACAGTTTCCACACTCCAGACTGCTCGCCTTTACTACTTCCATCACCACTTCCTACGTCGCGGACCTGTTTCCCTCCCTTCCAATAGCATTTTAAGATTGCAGATACCTTAATGTAATCGTCATTAACAGTTTCCACACTCCAGACTGCTCACCTTTACTACTTCCTTCACAAATTCCTACGTCGCGGACCTGTTTTCCTCCCTTACCATAGAATTTTAGGAATGCAGATACCTTAATCTAATCGTCATAAACAGTTTCCACGCTCCAGGTTTCTCGCTTTTACCACTTCCTTCACCACTCCTACGTCGCGGACCTGTTTCTCCCTTCCCATAGAATTTTAAGAATGCAGATACCTTAATCTAATCGTCATAAACAGTGTCCACACTCCAGACTGCTTGCCTTTACTACTTCCTTCACCACTTCCTACGTCACGGACCTGTTTTTCTCCCTTCTCATAGAATTTTAGGAATGCAGATACCTTTATCTAATCGTCATAAACAATTTCCACACTCCAGACTGCTCGCCTTTACTATTTACTTCACCACTTCCTACGTCGCGGACATGTTTTCCTCCCTTCCCATAGCATTTTAGGATTGCAGGTACCTTAATCTAATCGTCACAAACAGTTCCCACAGTCCGGACGGCTTGCCTTTTCTACCTCCTTCACCACTTCCTACGTCGCAGACCTGTTTCCCTCCCTTCCCATAGCATCAAAGGATTGCAAATACCTTAATCTAATGGTCACAAACAGATCCCACACCCCAAACAGCTCGCCTTTTTCTACTTCCTTCACCACTTTTTACGTCGCGGACCTGTTTCCTTCCCTTCCAATAGCATTTTAGAATTGTAGATACCTTAATCTAATCGTCATAAACAGTTCCCACACTCCGGACAGCTCGCCTTTACTACTTCCTTCACTATTTCCTACGTCGCGGACCTGTTTTCCTCCCTTACCATAGAATTTTGAAGTGCAGATACCTTAATCTAATCGTCATAAACAGTTTCTACACTCTAGACTGCTCACCTTTACTACTTCCTTCACTACTTCCTACGTCGCGGACCTGTTTTCCTCCCTTCCCATAGAATTTTAGGAATACAGATACCTTAATCTAATCGTCAAAAACAGTTTCCACACTCCAGACTGCTCGCCTTTACTACTTCCATCACCACTTCCTACGTCGCGGACCTGTTTCCCTCCCTTCCAATAGCATTTTAGGATTGCAGATACCTTAATCTAATCGTCATAAACAGTTTCCACACATCAGACTGCTCGCCTTTACTACTTCCTTCACCACTTCCTACGTCGCGGACCTGTTTTCCTCCCTTACCATTGAATTTTAGGAATGCAGATACCTTAATCTAATCGTCATAAACAGTTTCCACACTCCAGACTGCTCGCTTTTACTACTTCCTTCACCACTCCTACGTCGCGTACTTGTTTTTCTCCCTTCCCATAGAATTTTAGGAATGCAGATACCTTAATCTAATCGTTATAAACAGTTTCCATAATCCAGACTCCTCACCTTTACTTCTTCCTTAACCACCTCATACGTGACACCATAGACTAACCAACACGTTTTATCTATGGTTACACACGTCACGGACCCCAAGCTAGTGTCGTCATTTGATTATATTAATGATACATACCGTTTCTGTTCTAATATCTATGGAATAATGCTATCAGCTATTTCTTTATTTACTGCATTCAAAAGTCAACAGCTGATCAAATGTCTTTGTTTACGTGTCAAATACTGCTTCCATAAGGATTACATTGAAACTTTGAAACCCAGTGGGGCGGATTCCTGAGAGACTTTTTCAACGCCATATAGATGTTGGCACTCACCGATATGGTCTTTATCACCATGCAAAATTTGAAAACGATTGATTCAGCCGTCTAGGAGGAGTTTGCGTATTACTAAATGCATAAGAGTCGACGTATAAGAGCTTCGCTCAATTACATTGAAACTTTGAAACCCAGTGGGGCGGATTCCTGAGAGACTTTTTCAACGCCATATAGATGTTGGCACTCACCGATATGGTCTTTATCACCATGCAAAATTTGAAAACGATTGATTCAGCCGTCTAGGAGGAGTTTGCGTATTACTAAATGCATAAGAGTCGACGTATAAGAGCTTCGCTCAACTATTTGTGGATTATAGCATAGACAAATAGTAAACCATCTAATAGATTCCGATTACACATGTTTGCCAAAATGTAGATACAGTATGTAGCATGTTTTTCATCATACTGTCCGGAAAGTCCGCAAATTCGTTTCTGATTTGGATTTTAAAATAGGGAACAGAAAAACATGGTAAATTTGTCTTTTCGCTAACTTTAAAATTGTATCAGTGCATTATGAAATTGCTGCTAATCACACGATATTTAAAGTGATGTTTGTAAACAACAGAAATGTAAAAGTTGATGAGTACTTTGTATAACCTCAAACTATGTAGTCTAATTTTGTAACGATTAGAAGTTTATTGCCACTCGCTTGTAAAACACGATTGCGAACCAAAAAGAGCCACTTTCATTCCAAGTGATGAAAACTACTATTCTGCTATCAATGCGAAATATCATAATTGTCGTATTTTATGGCGTAGAAAGCAAATTTCTTGTTCATCATCTTAATTTTACATTTAGGTTGTATTTCTTAAAGGGGATTGTCCCCAAGGTGGTACTACTGTAGTACTGTAATACAAAGATAGATCTACATTCATACTTTGCTTAATATACTGTACCTACCTTCGTAAGGCCGCCATTAAAAAAAGGATTAAGTATTATTGATCGTAGGCCTACCTTTACACAATGGGTTTTATGCGAAAATATTATTATATTCTTACTCTTATATTTACTACTACACGCTTACTACTTTTAATAAACAAACAACAGGCTTACTGTTGTCTCGTACACTCATTGTAGGATTGATTTTATTTGCTCTTTGTTGTATTACTCTACTTTCAATGAGTTTGTGGCCTACAGTACTCGGCGAGTTAAGGTGGAAGCCGCTGTAATGAAGTAGTCCCAATGTCTCAGTGTAGGTGTACAGGGCGCCGCACCGAGCTGGATAAATAAAATCTCATCCCAGTTGCATATGGA